AATCAAATAGCAACACCACAGCCTACCTGAGTATTGCTGCTGACATGAGCACAGTGTCTCCATCTTCTGATGGCTACTTCCAGCAGGATAACGCAGCATGTCATAAAGCTTAATCATCTCAGACTGGTTTCTTGAACATGACAATGAGTTCACTGTACTCAAATGGCCTCCACAGTCACCAGATCCCAATCCAATAGAGCAGCTTTGTGATGTGGTGGAACGGGAGATCGGCATCATGGATGTGCAGCCGACAAATCTGCAGCAACTGTGTGATGCTATCATGTCAATATGGAGCAAAATCTCTGAGGAATATTTCCAGTAGCTTGATGAATCTACGCCACGAAGGATTAAGAAAGTTCTGAAGGCAAAAGGGGTCCAACCCGGTACTAGTAAGGTGTACCTAATAAAGTGGCCAGTGAGTGTGTACTGTATATAGGGCAGCACAGTGGATGAGTGGTTAGCACTTGGCTCTAGTGTGTGTGTGTGTGAATTAATGTGTATGGGTGTCTCCCAGTACTGAGTTGCGGCTGGAAGGGTATCCGCTGTGTAAAACATATGCTGGAGTAGTTGGCGGTTCATTCCGCTGTGGTGAATAAGGGACTAAGTCGAAGAAAAATAAAAGAATAAATGAATATATATATATATTTGTAATTCTTGTTTGCATCTCCTAAGACGTTTTGAAAATAATGTTTATAAGCAAATAAAGAATATACGCCCGTACAGTATAAAAATCATAAACTATTACCTCTATTTAAGAGAGTCCCCATAAAGATAGCTGTACAAGTGAGTGTGTGAGCTATGATAGGAAATATCACATATTATTTACCTTTTAAACGTAAATGTTCCTAAAAGTGCTCTTATATTGCTAAAAAACTTGATTTCTCTCAGGTTGAGCTCAGTGAAGGGAAGTTCACCATGGTTATAAATGTTTACGAGTTTCTTCTGTTGAATACAAAAGAAGATATTTAGAAAAATGTTGGGGGAAAACAGCCACTGATGTCCATAGAACGAAAAAAACTAGGCTTTATTTCAATAATGTTTCAGTATATCTTCTTTTGTGGACAACACATGAAAGAAACTCAAGCAGGAGAAATGAGTTTAGATTTTTTTTGGGGTGAGCTGTCCCTTTAATGAAGCCTTTAATGCTTATTTGTAACGTTCATTAAAAGCGGCCATATCTAACGACTAGCAAAGGAATACATACAGGCTCGTATGCAAATGAACGCAAATCTCCTGCTTTGTTTACGTGGATCCGTCTCTGAACTGAAGGGATGTGATGGGAAAAGACCTCATGATACCGCTGCTGCCATCTAGTGGACAACGTGTGTTAAAGGGAAAAATTCCCGCCAAAACGAAAATTACCTCACTACTTACTCTCCCTCAGGTGGTTCCAACGCTTTATTTTTTATTTATTTTTTTGCTCTGTTGAGACTAAAGAGCATATTTTGAAGGACACCTCTTTAACCATTGACTTCCATAGTAGGAAAAACAAATACCATCTCTTTAACTGCACTCGCTACCAAATGGTTGACCATGTTTGACTGGTGTAAATACTGGTTTACACACACATCATTGTCGGTTCACCAAAAAAAAATCTAACATAATCGCGCTACAAACATAAATGCGCTACTACGCTTGATTGTGGTTTAATTGTAAAAAAACAAAACAAGAAAACATGTTAAATGAGAATCTGAAATATTGAATTTCATCAATTGTATGGCATAATTCAAGAAATAAAGGTAATTTAGTGTTCAAAAATGTTTTATTTGGATTGTGTTTTTAAAGTAATTGGTCGAACACTTCATATTTTTTCATATGTTTCATAGTATATGTATTAATTCCGTTACATTTACCATAAACAGACATATCAACCATTTGGCTGATATTTTAGAAATGGGATGCGTTGAAAACAATTCAATCCAATTTTTTTTCTTGGTGGGGTCGTTAAAGGCTTATTAATGTCACCGATTAGAGATTTTCAGCTTCCTTCAAGACAACTTCTTCTGTGTTGAACTGAAGAAAGAGACTCGCATATTTAACAGACACATCCAGCATTGATTCTCAATAATTAGGATGATAAATCAATCAAAAACAAATGCACATTTAAAAAAAAATAATGATTTATAGCCCGTGTACTTGTAACAATTAATTTATATACTGTGTTTTAGCATTTGTAGTGTCACGGTGGCGCAGTGGGTAGCACGATCGCCTCACAGCAAGAAGGTCACTGGTTCGAGTCACGGCTGGCTCAGTTTGCGTTTCTCTGTGGAGTTTGCATGTTGTCCCTGTGTTCGCGTGAGTTTCCTCCAGGTGCTGTTTTCCCACACAGTCCAAAGACATGCGGTACAGGTGAATCCTGATATCTGAGTCCCATCTCACACTCAGCACACTGCACTTTCTATGGTATCGACTTAGAAAGTCTCCTCTAGGGGCTTATTATGCGACCTGTCGTCATCTTGTAGATGGTGCTGTATCTATAAATTGAATAAATATGTAAAATAGGCACTATGCTTATTAATAAACTGCATAGTTACAATCTAAACAACTACATACTCGACTAACAAAAGCCTCAAAAGTACATTATGTTGCCCAACAGCTGCACTATTTGTCAAACTGTAGTGAGTTCATTGATCTGCTGTCGCTCTATGTAGGCGGAGTAATACAGAAGGGTGAAGAGGCTGTACGAATGCTGTGATTGCAGAATATCAGATTCGAGAATCAGACTGTTGTAAAATGCTCATAAATATAAATATATATAGATGGAGATAATTATTATTGAGACTAATCTAGCTGCATAAGAAAATAAAGTGCTTTTGTAAAATGAAGGAAAGAAACAGGATGTGCTTTTTGCCATCTTGTTTGTCCATTTGTGATGTTGATTGTAATGTAATAACCTTTTGTGAAGCTACTTTGGTACAGTAATTATTGTGGACTGCGTTATGTAAAACAACCTTCAACTGAATTGAAATTAAACGGGTATATTCCTCAGCCTAATGAAAACATTGACATATTTTCAAGTTCAGGTTTATCCATGTTAATCTAAAAACATTCGATTTTTGCTTTGTTCGTCAGACAAAATGGCAGAAAGCAACAGAGAGCTCTTAATTCAGTCAATCACAGTCCTGCAGAAGGGTGAGTGTAGCACACGGATGCTGTTTATTGCGCTTGGTTTTGATTAAAGACAGTTCATTAATGCATATACTACATTGGGATTATTTATTAAGGGAAATGAATAAATGATTAACGTAAGCACAGACCCTCCACACATCATATTTTACAGGAATGTGACCCTGGACCACAATATATATGTTGCACTGGTATATCTGTGGCAAAATCCCAAAATATACGGTTTAGGTTTAAATGATTGATTGATCTTTTATGCCAACAATCATTAGAATATTAAGCGAAGATTATGTTTCATGAAGATATTTAGCAAATTTACGACTCTAACCATATCAAAACTTAATTTTTAAGTCACGAAATGCATTGCTAAACACAATGTTTTTTCAATATTTACATTTTTTAGACCTTCAGACAGCAGGGTAATCTCAATAAAATACTGTCGCAACACAACATGATGTCTAAATCTCCACAAATTGACACTTATGACTGGTTTTAGGATCCAGGATCACAAATATGAATTGTTTCAGTTTCTTTCAAAAATAAATAACTAATGTACAGGGTGGGCCATTTATATGGATACACCTTAATGAAATGGGAATGGTTGGTGATATTAACGTCCTGTTTGTGGCACATTAGTATATGTGCGGGGGCAAACTTTTCAAGATGGGTGGTGACCATGGTGGCCATTTTGAAGTCGGCCATCTTGGATCCAACTTTTGTTTTTTTTCCAATAGGAAGAGGGTCATGTGACACATCAAACTTATTGGAAATTTCACAAGGAAAGCAATGGTGTGCTTGGTTTTAACGTAACTTTATTCTTTCATGAGTTATTTACAAGTTTCTGACCACTTATTAAATGTGTTCAGTGTGCTGCCCATTGTGTTGGATTGTCAATGCAAGCCTCTTCTCCCACTCTACACACACTGATAGCAACACCGCAGGGGAAATGCCAGCACAGGCTTCCGGTATTCCGTAGTTTCAGGTGCTGCACATCTTGTATCTTCACACCATAGACAATTGTCTTCAGATGACCCCAAAGATAAAAGTCCAAGGGGGTCAGATTGGGAGACCTTGGGGGCCATTCAACTGGCCCACGACGACTATTCCGCTTTTCAGGAAACTGTTCATCTAGTAATGCTCGGACCTGACACTCATAATGTGGTGGTGCACCATCTTGCTGGAAAAGCTCGGGGAACGTGCCGGCTTCAGTGCATAAAGAGGGAAACACATCATCATGGAGCATTGACAAATATCCAGTGGCCTTGAGGTTTTGATGAAGATGAAGAACTATCTTTGTTGTCTGTCATGTGAAGATACAAGATGTGCAGCACCTGAAACTACGCATACTGGAAGCCTGTGCTGGCATTTCTCCTGCGGTGTTGCTATCAGTGTGTGAAGAGTGGGAGAAGAGGCTTGCATTGACAATCCAACACAATGGGCAGCACACTGAACACATTTTATAAGTGGTCAGAAACTTGTAAATAACTCATGGAAGAATAAAGTTATGTTAAAAGCAAGCACACTAATAGTTTTCTGGTGAAATTCCCAATAAGTTTGATGTGTCACATGACCCTCTTCCTATTGAAAAAAACTAAAGTTGGATCCAAGATGGCCGACTTCAAAATAGCTACCATGGTCAACATCCATCTTGAAAAGTTTGCCCCCGCACATATACTTTTGTGCCACAAACAGGACGTTAACATCACCAACCATTCCCATTTTATTAAGGTGTATCCATATAAATGACCCACCCTGTAAATATTTATGGGTGAAGCGTGACTGGCCTGTTTTCTTTCCAGCCCGTCGTCATAATTCCTAATCATGTGAAACCAACAATACAATAAATAAAATAAATACAATCAACAAAACCCAAGACATTCAGTATGAAAACACAGATTTACAGTGGTTACGCATGTAAATAAACATATGAATGCATTAAACAAACTCAAGTCAACACAGGGTGCGTCCCAAATCGCACACTTACCTACTATATAGTGCATAAAAAAACAGTATTCATACCATTGGAAAAACAGTATGAGGGAAGTACCCGGATGACCTACTACTCCCGAGATTCTGTAGTGCGCACATGATGTACACTACGCTATCCAACGATGCACTTGGAGAGAGTTCATGAATGTGGGTGAATCGAGTGAGTTGTGTAGGTCATGTGATCATGACAAAATGGCTGATGTAGTACGTCCAAATTCCATCAATACTCCTCACATTTATACTATTTAATGGTCGTGTAGTAAAATCAAATGTAGTACGTACTCGAGCAGTAGGTGATTTCGGATGCAGCCACACTATTCTATATAGTTAACTAAATAAAGAGCTTTCTATGGATCGGCGGACTTCTTTGGACTATATAAAAATATCAAAAATATTGCCGTTTCTTAATGATGAGGATCAGTGCTGGAGGATTTTGCATAGTCCGGCCTCTGTCCATGAGGAAAGGCCTAAGGAAAGGAGCTCAGAGGCACTAAGTGTTGATTTAAGGGATGGATCAGTGTGTATTGCGTCACCTGTGCTACATGGCTGTGCTGGTTTCTGTTTGCTCTGTGCTCTGCTGTTTGTATATGAAGGTCAGGAGGAACAGGGCCACGTCATGGGACGTCCAATAGGCTGTGTGTGAGGTCACCGCTGACCAATAGCGGCTCTCCACCATACCCTCGCGCAGCTCAAAGTCAATGCGGTGCTCCATCTCCACTGCGAAACACCAGCAGGAGCATTAGCAGACATATGGAGATAAAATAATCACAACATGAACTAGAACCTAAAGTTTATTGATAAACTTTGATGTTGGCTTGAGAAAGCCAACGTGACTGTGCTAGGACTAAGAATGGCAGTTGGCAGGAAGCACGGCGGCGGTTGCTAAGTGGTTGCTAGGCAGTTGCTAAAACAATTATGGCATTGTTAGGTAGTTGCTATGCAGTTGCTAAATGGCAATGCTCGTGTACATGTTTGATCAAATGCTAATACTTAATAGGCATTTCTAGCATATGTTATTGCATTTAGATAATCATTCATAGCATGTAGCTAATCGTTATTAGCGCTTGGCTTCCATTATCATTGTTACCATGCATAGTACACAGGAAGTCCCATTTGCTAGCATGAGTCAAACAAGCCAATGCCCAGGTCCCTACGATGTTCTGATGTAGAGGTATTGCTATTTTTAAATGGTTGCTAGGTTATACTGTTTAATTGCTATGGGGACATTTGACAGGTTAGTGATGATACATCAAAGCTTCTTGGCAATATGAGTGATCTTAATCAACCCCGATGTTTCTATGACAGTCTTTATGAGTGTCAAAAACTGGACTTGAACATCATGTATTCCTGGTGTTGGGTTGCGGCTGGAAGGGCATTCGCTGTGTAAAACAAATGCTGGATAAGTTGGCGGTTCATTCCGTTGTGGCGACCCCTGATTAATAAAGGGACTAAGGGAATGAACATTATGTAAAAATGGCTTGCCGTATTTTTTTGAAAATACAATGCTTAATAAGTGTGAAAGTGATACATGCAAAATGGCTTGCCATATCAGTAAAAAATATGGAGTTTAAGTCAATAATAAATATTATAAATAAATATGTATATAAAATAAATATATATATATAAATATATACATATATATATACACACACATATATATATATATATATAGTTTTATATATATTTTATATATATATATATATAAAAATAATGCTTAAAAATTATTTATTGGAAAACTATAAGTCTGATTAACCTTAAAGATATAGCAACAAAACCTAACGCATCTAAATATAGATTTTGGCCAAATTTGGGGCTTGTATAATTTTTTTATATGCCCGGATTATAAAAATTTAATATTTAACATTTTTTTATTAAAAAAACAATAAGTCTTACAGGCATGAGGAAATATAGCAACAATCTTGAATGTAGAAGGCACATTTTGACCACATTTGGGCCTTGTGGCATGAACGACCTAGGAGGAGATACGTTTGTTTTCAAGGACAGAGTAGCAAAACAGTATGTTGGCTTTCTCAAGCCAACATAATTAAAGGGACAGCTCAAGCAAAACAGTTCTGTCATCATTTCTTCTGTTGAACAGCTATTGACTTCCATAGTATGTTTGGTTCCTACTACAGATGATTATTCTTCTGGATTTTTTCGTTTGTGTTTGACAGAAGACAGAAATTTGTTAATGATTAGAAACAGTTGATTGTGAGTAAATAGCGCATATATATTTTTTATTTTGGGGTAAACTGACCCTTTAAATTCTCTTCAGCGCACCAAAACTGCATTTATTTGATTATAAAAACAGTAAAATGTTTATATTTTGGAAAAACTACCATTTAAAAGAATGTTCATGTTAATATACTGTCAAAATATGTGTTTAGCTAGGCATAACAAGTCATTTTATATGTAATTATTGTTTGTTTATGTTGGATATTGTTAGCAAACGCCAGCGTCAGTTCACTGGTGGTTAGCATCATATCATCATCTTTCATGTGCAGAGATTTTGTGCAGAGAGTTTGATTTTTCATATGTATAGATGTACGTTTGACTGCATTTTATGTTGATAATGGCAGGCTGCGCTGTCAAGCAATGAAAAAGCAATGTTGAAACAGCCTCAAATACTCACCTACTCTGCTCTGATTGGTCAGGGGGCTCTACTCTGCTCTGATTGGTCAGACAGCCTCCTCTATAGTGTTTATTCAGGCTCCACAGCTCTACTTTGCTGTGATTGGGCAGTCTATACTCTGTTCTGATTGGTCAGATGGCCTAACTCTGCTCTGACTGGTCAAACAACTCTACACTGCTCTGATTGGTTAGATGACTCTGCTGTGATTGGTCAGGCCCTTCTCTGATTGGTCAGATAGCCCAACTCACATTGGTCAAATGGTTCTACTCTGCTCGGATTGGTCAAACGGCCCTACTCTGATTGGTCAAATGGCTCTACTCTGCTCTGATTGGTCAAATGGCTCTACTCTACTCTAATTGGTCAAATGACTCTACTCCGCTCTGATCAGTCAAATGGTTCTACTCTGATTGTTCAAATGACAACTCCACTCTGATTGGTCAAATGACTCTACTCTGCTTTCTCTGATTGGTCAAATGGTTCTACTCTGATTGGTCAATTGGTTGCACTCTGATTGGTAAAATGGCTCTATTCTGCTCTGATTGGTCAAATGGCTCTACTTTGCTCTGATTGGTCAAATGGTTCTACTCTGCTCTGATTGGTCAGATGGCACTACTTCGCTTTCATTGGTCAAATGACTCTACTCCACTCTGATTAGTCAAATGACTACTCCACTCTAATTGGTCAGATGGCTTTACTCTGCTCTTGATCAAAAGGCTATTCTCCACTCTTATTGGTCAAATGGCTCTACTCTGATTGATCAAATGGTTCTACTCTGCTCTCTCTGATTGGTCAAATGGTTCTACTCTGATTGCCAAATGGTTCTACTCTGATTAGTCAAATGGCTCTACTCTGCACTCTCTGATTGGTCAAATAGTTCTACTCTGATTGGTCAAATCCCCCTACTCTGCTCTTGATAAAATAGCTTTACTCTGTTCTGATTGGTCAAATGGCTCTACTCTACTCTGATTTGTCAAATGGTTCTATTCTGATTGGTCAAATGGTTCTACTCTGCTCTGTTTGAACAGTAGTGTGCTCTCTCATCTAAGTGAATTAAAATGCCAGAGCATTGTTTGTACACACCTGTTGCATCAAACAGAGAGGAGGATGAGGATGGAGGAATGGCTGAGAATGTGAAAGTGCTTTGGCTGTCCTCGCTGTCTCCCATCCCAGAATCCACAGCTGACGGCAGGCTGGGAGAGCGGGAGAAATGAGAGAACAAAATCCCACCGATGCCCTTGCCAAGGCTCGCAGCACCTGCACAAACACCAGATTACACCTCACGTTTCTCACAATTTCCACAGCGGTATCAGCTCTTCACTCAGTGTCTGAAAAACACACACTTCACTACTATATAGGATGCAAAGTACAGTATGTGGGGAGAGTGGCCAAATTTATAGTGTATGTACCTGGTTGACCTACTACTTGTAGACACTTTACTATATCATGAGGCCGCAGAAGTGTCATATAAAGAAAAATGTCGGAAAGTGGCGATCGTCAACATGGAGAGTGTAGTACATCTGAATTGCATTCATAATACCCACAGTCATACTATACAGAACATGCTTATGTAACAGGCTGAAAGTATGTTGAAATCCAGATGTACCCAACTCGAGTAGTATGCGATTTCAGACGCCACGCTGGTTTCTCAAAATCCCGCCTTTTTGAGAGCCTACTCTGCTCTGATTGGTCAGATGGTTCTACTCTGCTGTGATTTGTCCGATAGCCCTACTCTGAACTGATTGGTCAGATTTCCTTCTTTGCTGTGACTGGTCATTCTGTCTGCCTCTGCTCTTATTGGTCATATGATCGTACTAGGTTCTGATTGATGAGATGGCTCAACTCTGCTCTGATTGGTCAGATTTCCCCTCTCTGCTTTGACAGTTCAGATGGCTCAGATTAGATGGACATTCTTTGCTTTGATTGGTCATATGGCCCTACTCTGCTCTGATTGGTCATATTGCTCTGCTCTGACTGGTCAGATGGCAATTCTTTGCGCTGATTGGTCAGATGTCTCTACTCTCCTCTGATTGGTCAGATGGTTATACTCTGTTCTGATTGGTCAAATGACTCTGCTCTGATTGTTCAAATGACTATACTCTGCTCCGATTGGTCAAATAGTTCTGCTCTGATTGGTCAAATGGCTCTACTCTGATTGGTCAGATAGTTATACTCTGCTCTGATTGGTCAGTTGGTTATACTCTTCTCTGATTGGTCAAATGACTCTACTTAGCTCTGATTGGTCAGATAGTTCTACTCTGCCCTGATTGGTCAGATGACTCTGCTCTGACTAGTCAGATGGTTATACTCTGCTCTGATTGGTCAAATGGCTGTACTCTGCTCTGACTGGTCAAATGGCTCTACTTTGCTCTGATTGGTCAGATAGTTCTACTCTGCCCTGATTGGTCAGATGGCTCTACTGTGCTCGGACTGGTCGGATGACTCTGCTCTGACTAGTCAGATATCTCTACTCTGCTCTGATTGGTCAGATAGCTCTACTCTCATCTGATTGGTCATATGGCCCTACTCTGCTCTGATTAGTCACTTGGCCCTATTCTGCTCTTATTGGTCACATAGCCCTACTCTGCTCTGATTGTTCAGATGGCTTTAGTCTTTTTTAATTGGTCAGATGGTTATACTCCACTCTGATTGGTCAGATGGCCCTTTTTGGTTCTGGTTGAAGAGATGGCTCTACTCTGCTTGGTTAGATTGTCCTTCTCTGCTTTGATTGGCCATATGGCCTTACTCTGCTCCAACTGTTCAGATGGCCAAACTTTGATCCGATTGGTCAGCCTGCCTTTCTCCGCCCTTATTTGTCAGATGTTCCAGCATGCTATGATTGGTCAAAACCAACTGCGCATTACCCCATCTGAATTGCAGCTCTATCTCCGCTCTTGTAAATATGGTGTCAGTGTTGTCATGTCATTGTCGTTTGGAGTCCTCATCCTTTGCAAAAGCATGTAAAGTGTATTTGCTTTGGCAGCAAATAACAGTGTCTTCTAGTGCAGTGTTTCTCAACCACATTCCTGGAGGAGCACCAGCACTGCATGTTTATTGATGTCTCTTTTGTATTTCACACCCATTACAGGTCTGTCTCTGCTAATTAGCTGATGATCTGAATCAGGGGTGTTTGGTTAAAGAGACATGAAAAATGTGCAGAGCTGGTGGTCCTCCGGGAACGTGGTTGAGAAACACTGTTTTAGTAAGTTTTCGATTAAAACTTTACCTAATATGCTGGCCTTGCCCAGGTTGGTGATGGACTCTCCGTAGTGTCTCCTGGCCAGGACAGGTGAGGTGCTGGGACTGGAGCCGTTCTCCATGTCAGACGCTGTGTCTTTGCTTGTGCTTAGATAAGTGGGTCTGATCTCATCATATGGCGTGGGGTTGATGGTGTTACACCTGCAAAATATTCACCAAACAATTCATAATTCAAATTCATAACAGAAAAGCCAAGCATGCAATAAAAACGAAACCTTTAAACGAGTGAATCCCTCTGGGCCAAATGATAAACTTACAGGGATAGATCACCCAAAAAAGAACATTTACTCTATTTACTTTCCCTCAAGTGGATTCAAACCTTTAAGAGTTTCTTACTTCTGCTGAACACATTAGATGACAATTTGAAGAAAGCTGCAAACCTGTACCCATGGGCAAAACAAATACTATGGAAGTCAATGGTTACAAATTTCTTTAAAATATTAAAAAAACTGAGTAAGTAGGTCAAACAGGTTTGGAACAAGTGAAAGATGGGTAAATAATGGCAGATATTTCATTTTTGGCTAAACTATCCCTTTAACCAGTACCGTGTGTGTATGTGAGTGAGTATTCTTTATTTAACATGTAACAGATGATACAGTGCATCCAGAAAGTATTGATAGTGCTTCACTTTTTCCACATATTTTATGTTACAGCCTTATTTCAAACTGGATTAAATTCATATACCCCATAATGAAAATGTGGGAAAAAAGAGTTTTTTTAATTGTTGCAAATTTATTAAAAATAAAAAAATCTGTAAAATCAGATGTGCATCAGTATTCACAGCCTTTGCTAAATACTTTGTTGATGCACCTTTGGCAGCGATTACAGCCTCAAGTCTTTTTGAATATGATGCCACAAGCTCGGCACACCTGTCTTTGGGATTTTTTGCCCTTTGCAGTACCTTGCAGTACCTTTCAAGTGACGGTGTCCAGCCATTTTCAGATCCCTCCAGAGATGTTCAATAGGATTTCGGTCTGGGCTCTGGCTGGTCCACTCAGAGACATTCGCTGAGTTGTTGTGAAGCCACTCCATTGATATTTTGGTAGTGTGCTTTGGGTCATTGTCCTGCTGGAAGATGAAGCGTCGCCCCAGTCTGAGGTAAAGAGCAATCTGGAGCCGGTCTTCATTCAGGATGTCTCTGTACATTGCTGCATTCATCTTTCCCTCTATCCTGACTAGTCTTCCAGTTTCTGCTGCTGAAAAACATCCCCACAGCATGATGCTGCCACCACCATGCTTCACTGTAGGGATGCTATTAGCCTGGTGATGAGCGCTGCCTAGGTTTCTCCAAACGTAACGCCTGGCGTTCACCCCAGAGAGTTCAACTTTAGTCTCATCAGAGCAGAGAGTTTAGTTTCTGATGGTTTGAGAGTTCGTCAGACACCTTTTGGCAAATTCCAGGCAGGGAGCAGCTTCCGTCTGGCCACTCTACGATGCAAGCCTGATTGGTGGATTGCTGCACAGAGCTCAGAGGTGGATTGCTGGAGCTCAGACAGAGTGACCATCGGTTTATTGATCCCCTCCCTCACTAAGGCTCTTCCTCCCCGATCACTCAGCTTAGATGGCCGGCCAGCTCTAGGAAGAGTCCTGGTGGTTCCAAACATCTTCCACTTATGGATGACGGAGGCCGCTGTGCTCATTGGAACTTTCAGAGCTGCAGAAATGATTCTACCTTCCCCAGCCTTGGGCCCCGAGACAATCCTGTCTCAGAGGTCTACAGAAAATTCCTTTGTTTTCATGCTCGGTTTGTGCTTTGACATGCACTGTCAACCCTGGGACCTTATATAGACAGGTGTATGTATTTTTAAATCATGTCCAATCAGCTGAATTGAGCACAGGTGAACTACAATGAAGCTGCTGAAATATCTCAAGAATGATCAGTGTAAACAGAAAGTACCTGAGCTCAATTTAGAGCTTCACGCCAAAGGCTGTGAATACTGATGCACATGTGATTTTTCAGCTTATTTATTTGTAATAAATTTGCAACCATTTAAAAAACTCTTTTCTCACATTGTCATTACGGGGGATTGTCTGTAGAATTTTGAGGAAATAAAAATGAATTCAATCCATTTTGGAATAAGGCTGTAATAAAAAAATGTGGAATAAGTGAAGCGCTATGAAAACTTTCCAGATGCACTGTATAAATATACTTAGTGCACAATTAAGATCAATTAAGATTCATCTATTTCATCACATCAGGACTCACCAGTGTATCTGAACCGGTGCGATTTTGCTATAGTGCTTTAACACCAGAGGCTCCAGTCGGTAGGCCTGTTAAACAGTGGAACATGTGTTACAAATAGCGTCAGATTAGTCCACTGAGCTGAGTCACAGAATGAGACGTGGAGTTACCACAGGATCTGTCGGGTGGAAGATGTTGAAGAGGCGCCGGCAGATGGATTTGGGCATGATGTGGTCCTGATGACCAGTGTTTCCAGGCCGGATCCCTCTCAATGCCAGGAACACAGCCAGAGGACAACCCATGCAGAAGAAGTTCTCCACCTGCAAACGAGCTCAGCTTCATACACATGTAATCCATACACATGTAAAAAACACTGATTATTAAAGACAGACCAGCTGAGAGGTTATTAACAGAGGGTTTATATCTGGACTCTTTCATTTAGAAGAGTCAGAACTTACATACAAAACCCTAAACAAGTAGATAGTGTTCAACAACAGTGTAAAAACATTGATTAAAACTCTATATTACTGTCACAGACTCGGTCCCAGTTAATCCCCTCAACAACCAGCAGAGGTCCCGCTCACCCGACTACTGAAGTTTTAAGAACTCCATTACCCACAAGACCCCGCGGGACCTTGATTACTGTCCAGCTGATACCCATACACACAAACGCTTATAAGCCCTTCTCGCCTGTCATTCTGTGCGAAGTCTTGTTTTGCTCTGCATTCAATTCCAAGCGTTTTCCCCACATTGTCTGACTGATTACTGTTGCCGACCTGGACTGTTTGTATACCTGTGATTCTATGCCGCCTGCCCAGATCCTTGCCTGTATCCTCGTCTATGTATCTTTGCTACCTGCCTACAACTCTGCTTGTGACCCGACTTTGAGTGAGTTCCCTGATCTGATCATCTCATCTGTGAAACGTACATCTGCTTCTTTATTTGTGTTGTGTTCAATAAAGACGCTGCAAATGGATCCCACTTCGTCTGACTCTTCATCACAATTACCCCCTTATTTGTATGGAGGTCTAGACTGTTTGAGAGCTGATATCACTGTTAAAGGCACTACATTACCTTAAACTTTAGCGTAGGGAAGGATGCAGGTTTTGACTCCTTCAGACCGTGAAGCTGATCTCGCAGTTCGTGTAACCTGTTACAAACACAGATTAATACATCAAAACTCATTTCTAAATGATGAGTGTTACCTGTCTATGTAAAACTCACGGTTACTACATTTACATGTCATTTTTTCCCATCCTGAATCATCATTGTATCTTATGAAGATCAATCTATGCTTTTGTTTGGCTTTGTCTAAACTCCTTCCTGGAGAGCCGGAGTCCTACATAGTTTAGCTCCAACTTCCTTCAAGTTTCACCTGCTTGGAAGTTTCTAGTATACCTAGAAAAAGCTTGATTAGCTGGTTCTGGTGTGTCTAACTGGGGTTGGAACTAAACTATGCAGGACAACGGCCCTTCAGGACCAAATTTGGACACCCTTGGTTTGGATAGTTTGTAGACACCTTTGTCTGGTGAGCTGCACTTCCTCCAGCAGGTGTCGCTCTTCATAGCTGCTCCACTGCGAATCTTCGGCTTCCAGCTGATCGTGGTGCTCCTGCAGGCAGAAGCGCACAGGATCCCAGCCGGTCATGATGTCGAAGGTGATCACGCAGCCCAGAGAGTGGGAGATGATGGACACTTTACCGCCGTCCCCCTCAAATTGGGGGTTTCGTGAGCAGAAGAGAGAGTAGAGGCGGTTGAGCTCCTGCGTTAACCCTTTAGTGATCTGCAAAGATGAACACTGGAGTATATATAGATATTTCTACAAAACACCTCATTGGTCAGCTGGAGAGACAGACTGTTTGACTGTTTACTGTTTGAAAACTTATTACTACATTTTATTTCTAAAAGGTGTCAGTAGTTACAAAACACTTCTATTGTAATTAAATGCTGTTGTTTTTAACTTTATTCTCATCAAGAATCTTAAAAAGCACGGTTTCCAATTGTTTAAAAGTGTTTTCAACATTAAGATTGATCAGTTGTGGCAGTGTGCATTGTGTTACCAATAATCACGGTCATGTGTACCTGTGTGAGCATCATAACAGGGGATGGTTTGTAACATAATAAAATAGCTAGACTCTACGATGAACTCAACTCCAATAAACTAGAAAAATCTGAGGTCAATCAGAGGTCAAATGAGTCCACTTCTGCTCTGATTGGTCAGACAGGTCTGCTCTTTGGTGTGTGTTTAGGCTCCACAGATTTACTTTGCTGTGATTGGGCAGTCTATGATCTGTTCTGATTGGTCAGAAGGCCTAACTTTGTTCTGACTGGTCAAACAACTCTACACTGCTCTGATTGGTCTGACAACTTTGCTTGATCAAATGGCTTTACTTCACTCTGATTGGTCAAATGCCTCTACTTCGCTCGGATTGGTCAAATGATTCTACCCTGCCCTGATTGGTCAGATGGCTCTACTCTGCTGAAATTGGTCAGATGGCTCTACTTTTCTCTGATTAGTCAAATGGCCCTACTCTGCTCTTGATCAAATGGCTTTACTCCACTTTGATTGGTTAAATGGCTCTGATTCACTGTGATTGGTCAAATGGTTCTACTCTGCTTTGATTGGTCAAGTAGCCCTGCTCTCGATCAAATGGCTTTACTTCGCTCTGATTGGTCAAATGGTTTTACTCTGCTCTGATTGGTCAAATGGCTCTACTTTCCTCTGATTGGTCAAATTGCCCTACTCTACTCTTGATCAAATGGCCCTACTCTTCCCTTATTGGCTCAAATGGTCAACTGGCTCTACACTCTGTTCTTGATGAAATGGGTTTACTCCGCTCTAATTGGTCAAATGTCCCAACTACGCTCTGATTGGTTAAATGGCACTACTTTACTTTGATTGGTCAAATAAAACCACTCAGCTCTGATTTGTCAAATGGCTTCACTCCAATCTGATTGATGAAATGGCTCTACTCTGCTCCGATTGGTCAAATGGCTTTACTCTGCCTCGATTGGTCAATGGCTTCACTCTGCTCCAATTGGTCAAATGGCTTTACCGTGCTACAAATGGTCAAATGGCTATACTCTGCTCTGATTGGTCAAATGACTATACTCTGTTCTGATTAGTCAAATGACTTTATTGTGCTCTGATTGGTTTAAATGACCCAGTCTGAAGTAATTGGCCAACAGTTCACAGCTGATACAAACCTGATAGTGAGTTTCTTGACCAGTTTGAAAAGGCAATATGAATGTAAAGAGCATGCAGATCTTCAGCTGAAGCCTCACCTCGTCTCTGTAGAGCGGGCTGGTGTAGTACATGATGTCCATGGCGCTGCTGTTGAGTAAATCCCTCAGGCCTCTCACTTTATCTGGCGTGATGGACTCCACAGTGTCTGCAGTGCAACAGGGGAAATCCCTCTCAAAGTGTGTATACTCAGTGGGATTATCAGCCACTGTATCTTTCAGTCATCGTTTTGCTATTAATGTTAATGCATCTGCTTGTTTGAGTTGTTTTGTTTGCACAGCTGACTGACGGATGAATGATGATAACACTCTATTCTCTGCCGTCTGCTTAAACAGTATGTGTGTGTGCTCGTGGATGAGTGTGATCAGAGCAGCTGGGACTTGTCTTACCGCCATCCAGAGCCAGTTTGGAGCGCCATTCGACTGGCAGGAACTCCACATGTTCCTCTGTCTGCTCAGAATAGTGCTTCTCCTCCATCTTCCTCACTGCTTCACGCAGCCTGAACAAAGACAATTAAATATCTACGGTTTTCAGTGGAATATACACTGAGGCGGACACTTTATTAGGTGCCTGTTAATGCAAATTTCTAAGCAGCCAATCACATTGCAGCAACTTAATGCATTTAGGCATGTAGACATGGTCGAGACGATCTGCTCCAGTTCAAGCCGAGCATCAGAATGGGGAAGAAAGGGGATTTTGAACGTTTGTTGGTGCCAGACGGGGTGCTCTGATTATTTCAGAAACTGCTGATCTATTGGGATTTTCATGCACAACCATCTCTAGGGTTTACAAAGAATGGTCTGAAAAAGAGGAAATAATGCCTTGTTGATGTCAGAGGAGAATGGCCAGACCAGTTCCAGCTAATAGAAAGGCAACAGTAACTCAAATAAGCACTCGTCACAACCGAGCTCTGCAGAAGAGCATCTCTGAACACACAACATGTCCAACCTTGAGGCGGATGGGCTACAGCAGCAGAAGACCACACCGGGTGCCGCTCCTGTCAGCGAGTCTCGGTTTCTGCTACGACATTCAGATGTTCGGGTCAGAATTTGCCATCAACAATATGAAAGCATGGATCCATCCTGCCTTGTATCTATTGTTCAGGCTTTGGACTCATTAGTAATAATTGAGCATCATGTCAATGCCACGGTATAAAAGTTAGAGAAGCAGAGTAATTGTACATTCATAGTTATAGTTTAGGCGGATATTTTGCATATTAACTCGGCAAAAGAAGTTAATAACAACTGCACGTGCTACTGAGAAACATGAGAAAATAAATGTTGTAAAAACTTATGTCAATAAGTATAAGTTTAACTCAAATATAAATAAGTAATAATTAATCCTGTTTTTGAAGTACACAGAGAGTGAAACACGACAAACACAACATGTGAGATTGCTGAAAAAACCAGGAGCTCTGAACACGTTTCACAAATTCAACTAAATACTTATTCAAACACTAAGGGCTCTATTTTGACGGTCCATGCGCAGAGCATAAATCGCAGGGCGCAAACGCTTTCAGGGCGTGTCAGAACGCATTTTTGCTAATTTAAGGACGGGAAAATCTGCTTTGTGCCGTGGCGCATGGTCTAAAAGGGTTGAGTTTATTTTCTTAATGAGTTATAGGTGTGTTTTGAGAATAAACCAATTAGAGTCTCATCTCACATTCCCTTTAAGAGTCAGCTGCGTCGCACCAAGAGCGCATTGGCTATTTACAGGACGCAGAGTAAGTCTAAGTGGAAAAACTGAGCATTTCACAAGCAAACAGTTAACAGTGTTTTTAACAGAAAACTGTTAAACAGAGCATCTACTGCGTGAGAATGAGAGATAATCGATCACTTTCACATTCGCTCTTGGATAGGGAAACCTTTACGCACAGACATCAATTAGTCTATAAATAAATAATTGCGTTTGTTAAGCGCAAATATTCGTTTCAAAACTATTTTAAATTCAGTTCTAATTTCCAGCAAACGAATAAATGAACAATAATAACAAAATGTGCTCAAAAACCTGAGTTATATCCTAAAACACATGCTGTGCCCCATATGGTCTAAAACCTGACAGGTGGACAAATCTAAGCTTGTTTTTAATAAAACAAATATAAATATGGATATAATAAATAATACTGCTAATAATAATAACATTATACAAAAGCAAATTGTTATGAATGAACTGAAAAAGCCTCTCGAGATGAAGAAGACATAAAAGCAGTGATTTTTCATATTTATGTAGGCTAGAAAATAATATGTTTTGTAATATTTTAATCCTTTATATTTATATCCTATATCTATTCTTATTATATCCTATATATATCCTTAATATTTACATTTTTTCTTATGTAAAGATATTTGCCTATTGCTCACTTGTGTGTATTAAGCAGTGTGTTGCGAGGTGCAACTCTGCGCCGGAGTTTAGTTTTGGTCTAATGAAAAATCTATTTTAGTTTCTCAAAATAGCAACGCGCCAGCAGTCCACCTCAGAACGCCTTCCTTTTTAGAGCAGAACGCCTATGGGCGCACATATGAGCGCTAATGCATTTGCTATTTAAACAGCTTAGCGCAACGCCTCAAAACCACTCTTGCGCCAAGCTGAAACTACCAAAAGACTACTGCACTGCGCCTTGCGCCACACTGCGCCGGGTATATGATAGGGCCCTATGGCTCATATAAATCTTCATTAATATTATTATAATGATTATTATTAATCAGTGATGGGAATAATAGCGTTATAAACAAATGGAGTTACTAACAGAATTCCTTTTTATCAAAAACAATTAATCAAATAAACTACTGTAATAAATAAATAACCCACTAGTTACTTTCACTATTAATTAGTTACATTTATAATGATGTAACTCTGTTACTATTTGTGAGAACTAACTAGTAACTATAACTAATTCCAGTGCTCAATACTGTTAATGACAGCTCAGCTGTAAACTCACATGCCAGTGTTTTTAATGATGCGATCTTTATCCATCTTCTGTCCAATGCCGTGAATGACGAAGACGATGTGTGTGGTGTTTGGAGGTTTATCATCCAGCGACGCCTCCTCTACATAACCGCGGTGCAGTCGAGTGCCACTGCTGGAGGCTGGGGAAACATCACATGACCAATATGTTTACAACACATCAATCCGCCCCGAAAATCATTTTAAACCCGCAAGCTGAAATTAGCTGACAAAAGCTCAAAATTACCCAGTTTTTCCCACAATTAAAGCTAACAGGTGCTAACATTGTCTTAACTGATGCTCAACACACACACATCTGTTAACATCTCAAAAAAAGTACTCAAGGGTTTCGTGAACTTTTAATACTTATTTTCCCCACTGTATAAATGTAAAACGGGTCAAATAAAAATAAAGGATACAGACAGGAATAAAAGGTCAAAGTAAAAGACAAAAGTAAAAGGGAATAAAAGGAATAAAGGTAAACGTTAAAGTTCTCATACAGGAAAAAACAGTAAAATATAAAAAAGGGTAAAACTAACGAATACAGATGGGACTAAATGTAAAAGTAAAAAAGGATTAAAAAACTTAAGAATACAGACAGGAATAAAAATACCCAGATGTTGAAGCGCTCACCTTTAGAGAAGCCCAGTTTCTGTGTGACGGTGCGGGCGATCTTGGACGTGGTGGCGTCGCTGTACAGATAGACTTCATCCACACTGTACCAGTCCACATGACTGCGGCTCAGCTGCACACTGTGAATGGCTGCACGGTGATGGACAGAAGCACAACATTCAGGAGAGTTCATTACATTGACACACATACAGAAACGCATCACAGCGCACAAAACACAATAGATGACAGAACTACAGGAGCAGAAGAGTCTTTTCAGTGCCTGCTCGTATCTAATGCCTAGTTCAGACTGCGTGATTTTAGCCCCGATTTTGGCTCGCCGACAGGTTTTGAGAAATCGCCGACAAATGCCTGAAATCACAGGCAAATCGCTGCTCGTGCACGTGAGTGACAATCACACAGTATGAACGATCAAAGACGCGATCTGAGAGAATCGCCGATGAGTCGCCGATGCCTGTGAGATATTTGGCGTGCTGAATATCTGGAGCTGTCGGCGATTCAAATCATGCCGTGTGAATTGAGTTTTGACTGAAAATAACATCAGCGATCGCCTACAGCCAATGAGAGAGCAGCTTTCACTTGTGTGTGTGTGTGTGTGTGTAAACCTGCTGCAGGCCAGCGGGAGGCTGGGGGAGAAGTTAACAGCGCTCTTTTTCGGTTTATTTGGACCCACGAAATGGAGGAAAAACTAGTGGAGGTTTGACAGGACTCAGGAGCAACCGTGTCTGTTTGACGTTTCATACAGAAAGAAATTAGTTTATTATCAATGTTGAGGAGAAATGGCTAATTCCCGTCAAACCCACATGAGCAAATATGTACATGTTCTACCCCATTAAAGGCTTCTTTCTCATTATGTAGTTAAAAGATATACGACGTGTTTTTGGCTGTGAGACGTAGTTTGGACGAAGTTGTCGGCGATTCTCCCTATAGTAAAGTCATGCAATGTGAAAGTCCCTGTCGCCGATCCATCTTGCAGTCTAAACAAAGCAGCGACGAAACGCTAGCCCAGATAGTCATGCAGTGTGAAAACATCTGTGACACGACTAGTTTGAAAATCCTGCAGTCTGAACTCGGCATAAGAGTCTGTTTACAGCCGCTCGCTTCATCTGCTTTCTCTGATAGATACAGTCACAGTTATCCTTTTTTAAATATTTCCCAAATGATGTTGAACAGATTCAGGAAATTTTCACAGTATTTCCTATAATATTTTTTCTTGTGGAGAAACTCTTATTTGTTTTATTTCGGCTAGAATAATAGCAGATTTAATTGTTTTAAAACCATTTTAAGCTCAATATTATTAGCTATCTTAAGCAATATTTGTTTCTGATTGTCTACAGACCACTGTCATACAATGACTTGCCTAATTACCTTAACTTTACCCTAATTAAGCCTTTAAATGTCACTTTAAGCTGAACACTAGTGTCTTGAAGAACATCTAGTCGAATATTATGGCTAATAATTCTTCAACTATATGTGATTTGTGAAAACGGTTCAATAAACTAGCCACAAATGATTCTCTGCTAAATAGATATATATTTCAAATCCTGTGCTAAATGCACATTTAAAGGAGCTCTCCATTTTACAACTCCAGAGCTGCGTCCCAAATGGCACACTATACACTATGTACTTATGCACTTACACACTTAACAGGATACTATATGTATGTAGTGGCGTCCCCAAATGGCACACTAATGTTTTTTTACTATGCGGTAATTCAAACCGTTTCCCTGATGACGTTTGACGGTCGCCAAATCGGTGAAATAAACGACTGAATTATCAAATAATACCTGCCGTGAGTATTGCCGCATTTACCATTGGGAGGCGCTATAATCACTCTCGTAGGAGAATTTTGCTTTCACCATCCAAAATAAATAAAGCTATTCAACCTGCGTCCGATAGCTCCGCCCCTTCCGCTATGTAAGCAAACCTGCGGTCGTTGAGTGCTTAAAAGTGTCCATCATTCCACACTTCACTTTAGCGTCTAAATGAGTGCATCATCCTGGTAATTAAAGTGCACTTATGATTTTTAGAGTTTTCATTGTGAACGCACTACTTACACTATTTATACTACAAAATGGCGTAGAATAGTGCATAAGTACGCGATTTGGGACGCAGCTCAGGTCCAGAGGGAGCCCCGTTAGCTTAGCATAAATCATTGAATTGGATTAGACCATTAGCATCTCGCTCAAAAATTACCAGAGTTTTACAAATGTGAGCATTAAAGATCTGGATTAAATCTGCTGACAAAATATCCGTGTATACTGCACAAATCGATGATCAGGACTCAGAATGAATGCTTAATTTTCTATCGTTGTATTTGATAGTCGGGTGGTTAAATTGATATGTTATATTGTTATTTCAGTGCTCTTGTTAATAATAATAATAACAATGGCAACACAGTGGCTCAATGGTTAGCACTGTGGCCTCACATGGTTCGAGTCCCGAAACGGTCAGTTGGCATTTCAGTGTGGAGTTTGCATGTTCTCCCCGTGTTGGCGCGGGTTTCCTCCGGGTGCTCCAGTTTCCCCAACAGCCCAAACACATGCGATATAGGGGAATTGAATAAGCTATATTGGCCATAGTGTGAATGAGTGTGTATGGGTGCTTCCCAGAACTGGGTTGCTGCTGTAGGGGCAGCTGCGTAGCTGCGTAAAATTAAATAAAAGAGATTTACCCTTTTCATGATGCCATAACTATCCAATCAGAATGAAATGCATGAAGTGAGCAGGTGTAAACAGCCTCCTAAAAGTCTAATCTAAAAGTGCACTGAGTGTTTAGGTTGTAAAATAAGCCCACTGAAAAGCCGCCTGTCATTCTCTCTCACAAACAGAGAGATATGAACAGAGAAATGAATCCTGGAGAATCAAATCAGCAATCATTCACCTGATGTTAAGACAGCTCTGTGTCATACTTTACCAGTGCAGATTATTGATTCAAAAGAATCATCTCTATTTGATGTTGACCTTGAGGAATGTGAACATTTAGGGCTGTGCAGTATGATATTATTATATATCTATATATCATATGGAAGTCATATGATGCTCTATTGTTTATGGCGTCGCAAAATACATTGGTTATATTAATAAAGTATTTATATTTTGAATGATCATTATTTTACACTCAGGGAGATAGAAATGTGGACAACAGCATAGAGAGAAAGCTGCATGCTTGAAAGTACAATATGTAATTTAGCATTATTTTATGTGGCATTTAGCATTATTTAAGTGTTTTTTTATATCATTAATTTTTATTCTACCTTTTCACATCAAACATTTGCTTCTGACTTTCTAAATAAAGTGAGATAAATAAATTGCATGTTGTTTGAATTTTTAAGAGTATACTTTAAAATATAAAAAAATGTAAAAAAAACACTATTATTATTATTATTATCATCTGTTTATTTCCATTTGGACAGTGCTATGAAAAAGTGTTTGACCCCTTACTGATTTATTACTTTTTTGCATGTTTGTTACTTTCTAATGTTTCAGATCATCAAATGTGTTCCAATATTAGTCAAAATCAACAAAATGAAGCCTTTAGAGTGGCCTAATCAAAGTCCTGACCTGTATTCTATTGAGATGCTGTGGCATAACCTGAAAAAAGGCAGTTCATGCTCAAAAACCCTCCAATGTGGCTGAACTACAACAATTCTGCAAAGGTGAGCGGGCCAAAATTCCTCCACAGCACTATAACAAACTCATTGCAAGTTATCAAAAACGCTTGATTGCAGTTGTTGCTGCTAAGGGTGACCCAATTAGTTATAAGGTTATTGGGCAAGCAATTTACACAGGGCTATGTAGTTTACGGTAAGAGTGGCACGGCTAAGAATATTGTGGCTGAAGCCGTCAAACTGACATCATCAGAGAAGGGCCACCACTACAAATACGTACTTATTTTTGTATTGCTACATTCAATAACACTTCAGTTGGCATCTTCTAAACTAAATGTAAACACTTTATTTATACTATTATTGTTTTGGTGATTTAAAAAGTATATATTTTTTTTATAAAAGCACAGTATGTGATTTTGTCCACTAGAGGGCATGTATTCACAACAAACATGTGCATCTAAAAGTGTTAATACACTCGGTCTTACTTGTTATTTCTCTGGATTATTTATTTATTTTAAACATACGAGATCATGTGAGTACGCAAGTCAAATATAACACTGTTTAAGTGTTCATTGGATATTTTAATAACCAAATTGTACATATTGTGCCTTTAATGTGGCTATCAATAGATTTTGGAACCAACACAAACGGCAAAAAGCACATCGTTACTGAGCCAACACAAACGAGGATAATCTAAATGTGGACTTAATAGGCTCATTCACTGAGAATATGATACAGCAGCAATAGGATCAACATATTTTAAACTCCGTTTCCCAGGGAAAAGTCAATTGAAGCATGCAGTATTACTCTACTGACCTACATACACACCGTAAGCTCATTATGGTGCCAGGAGCCAAACTAAAAGTACAAGAGGTCTGGATAAGGACAGATTAGACCTAAATAGCCATCCAGACCCACATGAATCTATAAAATAGATGAGTTGTGAAATAAGACAAGCCCTAACTCTAACAAGCGCAGCATACTTGGTAAAGTGGAGCATTGGGAACTTAATTTACCTGAGGGATTATGAAGACAGCTAAGGTTAACAAGGCTTGTGTCAGAAGTCAGTCTGAGTTTAGTGTGTGGTAAGACATGCTGTGTGTGATTAAATTGAATTTATTAGATTGAAAAAAACATACCTGGATTAGAATTAAAAAGAACTGCAGTGACTTCTACAGAAATCTGGCCACAAATTCAATGGAAACAGAAGTCGTGGCCACAAAAATTTTCTTTGGTACAATATAAAGCTTGAATGCAGACCAAAAACTGCTAGGAATCTCTTTTTAGTCACAGATGACTCATGTTTGGAAATGACAGCAATGTCAGGAGGTATTTGTGGTTCGTCACATGACTTTTTAATTAGTCACATCAGTCTTGTCAGTGGTCACAACACAAAGGAAATAATTGCAATACACTTTAACATGAGACGCATTGTATGCATCCAAAACAATGCTCTGGGCATTTTGGATACATGAGATTACAGCAACAGTAGCTTTAAAAGGAAACATAGCGAGGTAAAAAAAGGATAAGTGGACATGAAGGCCAAAACAAACTCTTAAGCCAACCTAGGTGTGAAGCTCATGGGGGAGTTTCTAACGAGCAAGGATAGGAGAATCAGCGTCTACAAGGAGGGAAAATGGAGGACTGTGGTACCTTGACATCGCTTTCGCTTGTGACTTTTAGCACCCGTCTGATATCCGCTCCATTTGAATAGAAAGGGGAGGTAGAATGGAGGGAAGTGGGAAAGAACTAAACCAAAAAAAACAATAATTGGTCACAATTGGTTATTATTACTTTGAGTTAAACCCAAACAGCATTTAAGACTGTGATTTAATGTAAACGATCCAGCTCAACATACATGTAATGACTCTATGTTGTTTTTAGCAGCACATTAACACATAAAAACAATTGAATTTATTGAATTTTTGATGGATTTCATTGCTAGAGCATGTGACTACCATAGTAAAGACACAGTAGAAACATACAATCACACTGTGTGTAAAAGTATCCATACATTTGTACATTAAAACCAATTGGTTTTCATCAAGTGTTGATGTTTTGATACCCCAGCATGTGTTATCTTCAATTTATCAGGCATTGTTCAGGTCTACACCTTTAGTTCGCCATGCTTGTGTGACATGAACAACCAACAAGTATTATTACAGAAGAGAACTGGTAAATATACCATGCTTAAATGGCAGGAACATCTCCAAAATAATAGAAAAAGTGCACATATCCAAATCCTGTACACACAAACAAGCAAAAATACAAACATACATGTAGCACATAAACCTTTTTTAACCTAAACACATAATGATATTGATGTAATTTGGGATATTCTACACAATTAAAATGGTAAACGGATGTTTTAGACAGAGAGCATTCACTCCTCGGTGAGGCTGTATCATTCATCGTCTGATTGAGTTTTGATAAAAATCTGAATGTTAAAGGTGCAGTAGGTGATTGTCTTCAGAAGCATTTGTTGTTGTGCTGGTTGAAAGTCTCTTCATAGTCCAATAGTAATGATTCAAGTAAATTATGTAAATGTGTTTATATGTATTTTTATATTTTGGGTAAGGCATAAAACTAAAAATTTAATTAATCCAATTCAATTAAATAGAGTCGGGCTGACATCTCTCATAATTCAGATAAGTAGCCCAATCTGTCTGTCAGCAAATGCAGATTTGAACAACTGCGCAGCCGTTTGTATGCATCTCCACCGACCGCCGCGCGTTCACGATCGAGAGCACGCGCGCGATCTGTAAAAACCTGCTTGATCAAAACTTTTTAAAAACCTGAATCATATTGGAGTTACCTTTGCACGCTGGAGAAAGGATGACACGATGTCTGAAGGATTTCTCTTAGACAGGTAATGTTCTGTTTTAAAACTATTTTATCTTCATGCAAAGCTGATGTAACGTTGGATGTTGTTGTTACAAATGGGTTATATCTGCACTGCAGTGTTGTTCAGCCACTAAAATCTTCCGATAAAAGATTGATAAGGCTATTTTCAGTTTCATAAGGTCCTTTTACAGCATATATAATGTAGATTTTAATTAGTTTAACAACAAAACACAAGTAAATACGCTATTCCACTTAGTCTCTCCTTATATTGTTTACCATGCAACTCTAAATATTCACTCTGAAATCGCATGTCAGTTTGGCTTGCATGCCGCCGGACAAGCACTAGTGTTACAATAAAATGGGTAACACTTTACAATAAGGTTCATTAGTTAATGCATTTACTAACATGAACAACAAATGTACAGCATTTATATATTTATCAAAATTGAACATTTACTAATGCATTATTAACATTATTAATGCTTGTTAACATTAGTTAATGCACCATGAGTTAACATGAACTAACAATGAACTACTGTATATTCATTAGCATTAATTAACATGAATAAATACTGTAGTAGATGTATTGTTTATTGTTTGTTCATGTTAGTAAATGCATTAATTAACATTAACTAATGAACCTTATTGTAAAGTGTGACCATAAAATGTGCTGTGGAAACAGTGACACTGTTGTTAGAATAGACTGAAAACAAAAGAAACCACAGCAGAATTGTGCGAGCAGAAAAGGTCCCAGTACAGAACCCTGTGGGACTCCTTGATGGATGGCGAGAGTGCAAATCAGTTTTATAGCTTATTCAGGAGGATCTGCGGTCCTGCTAGGACAAAACTGTGAAAGTGCAGAGCAAGAGATTTGAACTGACCGACTAAAGTGGATTCAGCAGTTTTATCTGGGTGAGAAAGTCTTATATTTGATCTAATGATCCTTTTCCTGTGATTAACAGCTACAGTAGATGAAAAGATTAAATTAGATTAAATCCCAGTGGAGGACATTCATTCAGCACTCGTGTGACTCAACGTTTAAACACACATTGGATGTAATTTAGCATGGCCTACAGTACATTTATTTCCTTGTCAGTACTCTAAATTATTTTTAGAAACTGCAGATGTTAACAGAAAATAAAGACTATCAGGGCTCGAAATTGCGACCATTTTGGTTGCATATGCGCCCGAAATTTCATCTATGCGACCTTAAAATATATTTAGGAGCATTTCTGCGAGTGCTCAAAATTGTTGTGTGCGACCAGTTTTTACTGCAAAATGTTCACCACATGCGCCACATGTTCACCACATGCGCGGATTCGGGAGAAATTTACGCAGAATGCATCTCTAAGCTCTTTAACGCGAAACGCAGCGCTCAGGAATGGTTGTCATGTCAACTTGCTGCAGTAAACAAAGACAGTCCGTAATGCTTGCCCCGCCTTCGCGCTTTTCTTATTGGCCCACCACTGCTCTAGCACTGAACGCAAATGATTGGATAATATCAGCTGTCAATCACTCAGTGCCTTCTAGCTTCGGATGACAGAGAGCTACTAACACGAAAAACTGTAAAGCGCTGAAGATTAGAATGAAGATAACACTGACAGATTTTGTTTTAGAAACCATGACATCTACAGTTACAAATAATGACACATCTTACTAGTGATCATGTGCTGAATATTAATCCACCATCTACACTTATCCAAGAGTAGAAGACTTCCAGTGGCTTCAAGTCCGCTATGAAAAGTCTTTGGTATGGAATTTTCAGGTAACTGTTTGCCACATCTAGCACGAGAGCTTCTGTATAATCCTTCATATAATCGTCAGATGCTGTCCGCCGTGCTAATGGCAGATATATGTCAAATTACACCACGTACACTATCGCAAACGGGCTTGCACTGAGTAAACTTACATCGTTACTCCTAAAAACACCGGTATAGCTATTAACACGACGTATGCATATGATAAGGCACAGTATTTGTCAAAAGTATCAGTGCAATATCAGACAGCACTTGTGAGAACAGCACAGTTATACCGTTAACCGATTCATTCAAGCAGTGTGTGCAGGGCCGGTGAGCGCTCCGTGCTTTGGTCACTCAGTTCTGTTATAAAATGTATTTTCTTTTGATAACGGGATTTCGTTGACACATATTTTCCTCATACTTGCATATATATTATTTTGATTTATAATTTTTTTTGCTTGTTAGTTTGATTAGTGTTGATTTCAAATGCTATAAATATGTTTGTATAAAACTTGTAGTAACGGTGCTCATAATTGATGGGTGCGACTAAATTTTGGCTGATGCGCCTAACTTTTTGAAGTTAGGAACACCGGTGCTACCAAGCAAAAAGGTTAATTTCGAGCCCTGACTATAAATCAACACACAGTAACTCTGTTATTTCTGGTATTTCTATTTCGCCGAAAACAGATCCGCCACTTTTGGCGCTCATAAACAATCATAAAGCCCTCGTGCCGCAGGAATGAGGAGGTTTGCTGAAGGTGCAGCTGTCGTGCAGCGAGGGGTTTACGTCTTTAATAAACTACGTCAGTTAGCAATCATTGAACAGTAAGAATGAATCATTCATCCATATGAAACAGTCCCTTAAAAGTCACGACTTGCTTTCAGTTTCGGGCTTTGGCGCGTTTTGCACTCACACACAAGCATACTGCGCCAAAGTCCAAGTGAACCGCGCTCAGCCACACCTCTTCCAACTGGGCCAGTGCCAGTCAAGTGAACCGCCCCTGAGCCCGATTCAGCGCACTCACACTTCTCAAACGAACCGGGAAACGGGCCTGGGCATGGTTTGGATAGCATAGTGTGAGTGCGCCATAAGTCTGAATTTGCCAGGGGGATGAATCATTTCAGGCTTGACTGAAGCTAGTGACATAGAAACAAAAAACGCTGACATACAAACAGTCCTCTATCAACAGGTATGGATAATACAGGCATGTGCAACCTTTGTCATAAAACAAACTCTGATAGACTCGTCGATTTCCAATATTTCTAAAACTCCCCACCAGCCTCACACACAGAAGGAATGCTCTCACTATAGATTATATATGAAAACAGCAGTGATGTGCAGGTATCAGATTCTCTCACCATCTTTTCTGTCTACAGTCTTGGCCAAAGCATCCGTGTCGAAGTTGTCCTGAATCTGCTGTCCTCTAAAACAGGTCAGGTGCTCTTTCTCGATCAGCTCGCTCTCGTCCTCCTCTACAGGAGCCCATGTGGCATCGGTGAACCACTGGCCTCTCATCACAGGGATGCGCTCCTGTTCTGTAGAAACACACAACACAGGGCTGAGACCATACACCAGGGGTCTAGTTTATAAATGTGGCGTATGCACACAAAAAAAAGGTATTTGAACTATACTGTGGACTTAGGGAGAGCCCACTTGGTTTGACGTGATAACATGTTCTTGAGCGTGCCTTCCAGCAATGACTTACAAACACTTACAGGATAGCTGTTCTTTAACAGTCTTTTGTTTTTTTGTTTTTTTTATTATTTTTTTTTAGGGCTTTTACTTTTATTTTTGATAGAACAGTAGAGAGAATTGACAGGAAAGCGTGGGGAGCAGAGAGAGGGAAAGGATTGGCATAGGACCGCGAGGCGGAATCGAACCCGGGTCGGCGTGAGCACCAGAGTGCATGTGTCAACGCACTAACCACTAGACCACTGGCACCGACGTCCTTTAACAGTCTATAAAGTGGCGGAAATATGACGTCAAATTGTATGCAAAAACCAGGAAGCGAGTTAGCATTTTAGCAGTTCCGGTTTCCTCGTCCCAAAGTCAATGGGCTTTTTCAGTGGGATTTCAGTAAATCGCTTAAATAAGGTTCGTGGCAAACACAAACTCAAGATACGTTTACGTTTTACTCTACAAATTTAAAAACACATCAGTAACGGCACTCTCTTGATATTTTAAGGGTGCTTTCACACCTACACTTTTGTTTCGGAACGTATCTCATTTGCCCAGTTAGCGCGGTTCGTTTGGCATATGTGAACAGGGCAATCGCGCTCTGTTCCGCGTCAAAGTAATCGCTCCGAGATCGCTTGAATGAGGTGGTCTCGGCTCGATTGAAAGGAACCCTGGAGCGGTTCGATTGCAGTGAGAAAGCGACACGATCCGAGCGCGGTTATATCACAGTGTTTTATGGATATGTAATAGGCTTACGGCTATATGAAGAGAGAATTATGAGTATGGCGGGAAGTTTCGCGAGTCTCCGGATGCCCGCAAACGAGTGATGATCTCCCGGTAATCTCGCGTCTCCCTCCCGGTCCTCAAATAGGCATCGTCCCGCATCCTTCTCACCCCTCCCCACCGCATCTCTCCTCAGACACGTCACGCGCGCACCCTGTCAATCACCACCAAACCACCACCTCTCCTGACAGCTGAGCGGGACTCTGCAAAATAAACCCTGACACTCTGACCAATGTGAGGAGAGTTTACTCACACGTGACTTGTCTTAGCTCTTTTGGTGCGATTAGAAACTTTGCAGTGTGAAAGCGAACCGCTCCAAGAGCAAAGAGCAACAATGTAACAATTGTAATCTCTGTTTCGGAACAACTGAATCGATTCACAGGTGTGAAAGCACCCTAAATCAGTTGCACTCCTTTAAAAATGCTATCAAGTTGCTCATTGAGAGTACAGGCGGTGTCGGAGACATTATACGTCATGGAGCTGAACTGGTCTGGAGCACAGCTCACTTGTGTTGGCCGTTTGGATTTCATTTAGATTCATTTGTTGATCATTTATTTTAATTAAAAGACATTATGAAGATACTGCTCACCAGTGCAGCCTGTCTCTTCCCTGCTCTCAGTAATGCAAACATGTGAATAAATATGTAAAAATACATACATATTAAGTGTGGTTTAATTATAATTTTATAATTATAATTTTGTTAAACTCAGTTAAAAATAATAACCCAGACATCTCTGTTTTAAGAGTATGCACAGAACATCTCTTGTGGCAATTTAATGCTTTTATTTGAGGATTCTTCTAATTTGCATTGAAAGTTAAGCACTTCACTGTTACAAATACGATTTTTCACAAAGAAAATGACAATTTTTGTTATTTTGGAGTTGGAGTTTAGCTCCAACCCTAATCAAACACATTAGAACCAGCTAATCAAGCTCTAACTAGATATACTAGAAACTTCCGGGCAGGTGTGTTGAAGCAAATTGGAGCTAATCTCAGCCGGACAGCGGCCCTCCAGGACCGAGTTTAGACACCCCTGCTTTAAGTGATACAGCTGACGCCAGTAATTACCAATACTTATTTATTTTATTTATTAAAGGGCACATAGTTTACCCCTTTTTTATGATTTAATATTAATATTCTGGTTGTTCTGAGTGTGCCAGTTCAGTTCAACACACAGTTCAGATGTTTTTATTATAATGAGTTAAATAGTGTCATGTTGGGGGCATTTACAGTTTGCTGTTTTAGGGGCGTGTTGCTTGACAGAAACCCACGCCGCGCGGAGCCGCTGACCCGAAGCTCCGCCGCGTGCACCCCAACAGAAATCCACACCCAGAACTCCGAAATGCATGGCGCCACGCAAAAGGTACAAGCAATAATTCCGATTACAGCGATAATGTGGAGAATATTGATCTTGTGTTGAGCCCAATGAGCCTTACATCAAAAAATAGAGCAAGGGGGTTCCTCTAGTGATATCGCTTTGACTCACACGTTGAAAATGGCGGACGTGCAACAAGAAATCAATATCGGTGGGCGGGGGGACCGCTCTCCTACGTAAAGTTGCGGTCGATCTGAAAACCGTTCCAATTGGTCCACCGTTTTTATGTTGTTAAATTGAAAAAAAAGGACTGTGTGTGTTTATATCACCCTAATATGACCCTCTATACACTATACTACACATATGTCTGTCCAAACAGCTTGAAAAGTAGATTTTTCACCACAGGTGCCCTTTAAATTACCAGTTAATTATATTTCATTAACGTCTACTCCTACCCAAACCCTCATAGTAATGTAAAAACACAGTAATTAGTATTATTCATATTATTTACTAAATTACTTTATATTGTATTAACAGGCCAGTAGCCAGCCTGGTGAACGGGATGGTTCTTTTTTCTCAAAAATTTTTTTGCAATTATTTACCTAATATTCTGTTTAATTATTGTTTAAATATTGCAATAAGTGGCATTTTGATGTATCAAAAATATTTTCTAAAGATTTATAATAAACAAATATAAAAAAGAGCTTCAGTTGTTTTCTAGTCTCTCTTGAAAAATTCATCTAAAACTATTACAACTACGATTTTTCACAAAGAAAATGACAATTAATAATTTCTTTGTTATTAAAAAACAGCAGGATGTAAAATTGTATTTTTTCCTGCATTAACGAAGGTATTATTAACCCTATTATGTATCATTTATCCTGATTTAACGCATATGATTGTTTGCAATGTAGAGAATGCTCAATTAAAAGATGTTCTTCACACCTGACGTGAACACAATGCCCGGGTGTCTCACACACACACCACACAATGTGAATAATTCAGTAGAAACTAAAGGCAGGCACTTTTCTTGGAATGATGCGCATGTTTTCACGCTTGGAAGCGTCTGCTTATAACTGTGTGTGTGTGTGTATGGTGTGCAGACATGTTGGAGGATCACACAGTTGAAGTCATATCCCCCCCATAATTATTAGTCAATTACTTACTGTTTAAGGGAGAGCAAATTTTCTCAACACATTTCTAATCATAATAGTGTTAATAACTCATCTCTAAAAACTGATTTATTTTATCTTTGCCATGACAGTCAATAATATTTGACTAGATATTTTTCAAGACTCTCGTATTCAGCTTAGAGTGACATTTAAAGGCTTAACTAGGGTAATTAGGCAGGTTAGGGTAATTAGGCAAGTTATTGTATAACGATGGTTTGTTCTGTAGACTATTGAAAAAATCAACCCGGGCTCATTGTGGAAATGTAGTCCCGCGGACGTTTCTGGAGACCGCGGAATACGTCTCGGGGGGTACGTACGGCTGCAGTTTTTGTTTTCGCAAATCCGCGAGAGGCCGCTGTTGTGCGCTTTTTCGCACCTCAGACGCCTCTTGCGAGTGCAGTTCATGCTGGCACTGTTCTCGCGTGAACTCACCGGAGGCCGCTGTCCGACTGACCGGATGATTGACTGCGCGACTGGCCAATCGGCTGACCCGCCCTCCTCCTTCCCTGAACCCAACCAATTTTACAGATCGACCCGCCCGCCCGCTCGCTTCCCTAAACCCGAGCAAGTTTACAAAAAGCCGTCCAAAAAAATAAAAGCCCTGATTTTTTTTTTCTACCGCATTTTCGGATTTCACCGCGTTCTCACCCTGTTACGAAACTTGTTCACTTATTTTTTGGGATTGTTTTCGTCTTACCTAATTGCTGGAACCGCTCTTCCCCGTACTCGAAACCGGTCGCCGTGGTCGACTCCTCTCCGCATCTCGAGCCTGCCTCCACAAGGAGGAAAGGCAAGCGCAAAGGGAACAGCGTCACACCGCCCCACAGCGTTCGCTTGAAATAAACGCGGCCATACGTACCCCCCGGGACGTATTCCGCTGTCTCCAGAAAGGTCCGCGGGATTCCGTTTTCAGAATGAGCTTGAGTTGGAAAAAATATATAGCCTAAAGGGGCTCATAATCTTGACCTTAAAATGGTGTTTAAAAAATTAAAAACTGCTTTTATTCTAGCCGAAATAAAACAAATAAGACTTTCTCCAGAAGAAAAAATATTATCATACTGTGAAACTTTCCTTGCTCTGTTAAACATCATTAGGGAAATATTTAATAAGGAATAAAAATAAATCAATCAAAGGTGGGTTACTAATTCTGACTTTAACTGTTTGTAGCATTTTGTCTTTGTTTTTGATCAGTTCACATTAATCATGTAATTATTCTATTTAAGAGATAGTTCACACATAAATGAAGATCATAACACCATTTACTCATCCTTCATTTGTTAAAACCTGTGAACTACTTTAACTACATACCAGTGAACCAGAGGTGTAGTCCTTGCTATACGCACGTATACTCAGTATGTTTACTTTTTTCCACAAGCTGTTTGGTTATTACCACTTCTGAGGATCAATAATTGCGTATACCCTCAGTATACTCACTTGTTTTTCTGATTACACTTCCCTAATTTACGTGTATTCGCGTCCCCTTTAACTGTATACCAAATGGTTTTTTTTTAACTCACAACTTAAGATGTGCCCTATCATATTAGTCAAACATTTGTATGTGTGTTATTTTAAATTATTACTTAAAAATGTGTATATATAGCCTATATATATATATATATATATCACATTTGTCTTTGTTTATCCCAAAGGCAAAGACTACTCATAAATCGCGTAACAATATGCAATTTAGAAGGGTAACTACTAGTATATATTAGCGAAAACAGAAGACAGACTCCTAACAATTTGTTTTTAAAAACACATTGATTTACATTGACATAGTATTTGTTTTTCCTTTCTTGAAAGTTAATCAACCCAAGCTCATTCTGGAAACGTAGCCCCGCGGACGTTTCTGGAGACCGCGATTTACGTGACCGGAGGAACGTAAAGGCCGCGTTTAGTTTTTTTCGAGCGAACGCTGCGGGGCGGTGTGACGCCGCTCCGCCCCTCCTCTTCGCGCTCGCCGGCCGACGGCTCGCCTCCGAGTGGAGGGCTTTCCCGATGCAACCAGTTTGTCCGCCTAGCTCACAGCGTTGCGTCGGCGGAGCGGAGGCCCCGGAGGAGGAGCCGGCCGCGGTGGACGACGACCGGGATCGAGTCCGGGGAACGGCGGTTCCGGATATCAGGTAAGACGAAAAACGGAATCCGAAAAATAAGGGCGAGAACGCGGCGGGATCCGAAGACGCGGTAGAAGTCGAAGACGAGGGCTGTTGCTTTTTTTTTTTTTTCTGGACGGCTTTTGCGAACCGTCGCTTGGGTTTAGGGAAGGAGGAGGAGGAGGAGGAGGAGGAAGAGGAGTAGGAAGAGGAGGGCGGCCGAGTCGGCCGATTCGGCGGCTTTTCGCGCGAGAACTGCTGTGTGATGAGTCCATTGGGAGAGGGAGGCCGAGACGAGGCCGAGAGGCGGCCGAGACGCGGATCCGCGAAAACAAAAACCGCTCGAATACGTAACTCCCGGGACGTAAATCGCGGTCCGCAGAAACGTCCGCGGGGCTACGTTTCCACAATGAGCCCGGGTTGAAGTTAATAGTTACAGGTATATATATATATATATATATATATATATATATATATATATATATATATATATATATATATATATATAATGAATCAAGGAAACATGGAAAATTTGTAATAGTACACCACTTTTTTTTAGAACTACATCACTGCTGTGAACTACCTCACAGTAATTTGCAGTGAATTTACATACAGTATTTTACTGTGAAAGTAATGCATTTATTAGCCAGCAATTTACTGTGAATTTACGGCAATATTTTCACAGTGTATACTTACGATTCCAGTACACTGGATAGCACTCTTTACTCCTCACATCCACTTCATAGAGTCCTCCTCTGACACACACCGCTTCTACACCGGCGTCCACACTTTCACGTCTCTCCAGCGGTGCTCCATCCTCTCCGAATCTCTCCTGATTTACAGATCCTCCTGGGTTCAGCTGGGTGAATCTGCGATACATGATTTCTATATTGAGAGAGTCGTGTCCCATGAAAGGCTTCCACGTCTTTTTGTCCTCTTTGTAAAACCACCTGACTTCCTCCGGTCCCAGTTCGGTGACCACCTCAAATCTGTGTCTAGGAGCGCAAGAGCGTTTGCGGATGTCCAGCGCTTTCCCATGGCAGTCCGACACAGGGCTTGTGCAGTAGCTGGTATTGCTGTTATGAAGGTAGTTGGCAACAGAAGTTGTGCTTAAATCCAGATGGTCTCCAGAAAGAGCATCCCGGGTGGGGTTTCTGAGCGCCAGTGTCATCCCGTCCCGATGTGGAGGGTGTCTCTCCATGTACATCCCTCTCCCAATGGACTCATCACACAGACTGAAGAAGGCATCGTTCCAGTCTCGGTTGCCAAAAGACAGCTTATTGCCCGGGTTGTTAATAAACCGTGTCTTCTTAGTAAGAGCGCTCATAATAACTCCTTGCTTGTCCTGAACTGACCTCTGTGCAGTTGGTCAGAAGTCATATACCTAACAGTATGACGTCATCCCACAACAACAGATGCCTGACTAAAAAAGTGCACATGTTAATAAACTCTGTCATGTGATTCAGCACAGGTCATCGCTTCTTACATGGACATGAGTCTGACTGACTTCTATCAAGTCATTTACCTGACAATATGACGTCATAATGCAACATTAGTAACCTACCTGCAAAGGTACTCAATTAACACAGACATTAAACAACTGTATGTCTATTGAAGAGTTTGTCGCTTAATAACTGGTCAGGTGAGCCTGACTGATCGCTAACGAGTCTTATGTCTGACCATATGACGTAATAACGCAATAATAATATCCTACCTGAAAAAGTACCCCATAAGCACCGACATTAAACGACTTTACGTAGTGCTATTGGGGAGTTTGACCCTTAATAACTGTCAAGGTGAGTCAAACTGACTGCTAAACGGTCATATACCTGACAATATTACATTAAAGTAATCGAACTGAAAAACTACCCCTTTAACACCGACAATAAACGACTGTATGTCATGTTATTCAGCAGTTAGCCGCTTCGTAACTGGTCAAGTGAGTCTGACTGACCGCTAACGAGTCAGATACCTGACAATATGACGTAATCACGCAATAATAGTAACATACCTGAAAAAGTACCCCATGAACACACACATTAAACGACTTTGTCATGCTATTGGGGAGTTCGTCACTTAATAACTGGCCAGGTGAGTCTGACTGACCGCTAACGAGTAATATACCTGACAATATGACGTCATAACGCAATAATAGTAACCTACCTGACAAATAACCATTTAAAACAAACATAAGACGACTTTATGTCTTGCTATTCGGCTGTTCGTCGCTTCTAAACTGGTCAGGTGTGTCTGACGAGCCTCACAGCTTCCAATATGACATTATACCCAATTAAAAAGTATGATAAACGCAACTTACCCCTAGAGAAAAGAACATTAAACGACAATAAGTCACATAATTTAGCTGTTTTGTGACTGGCGGCAGCGAAACGGTAACGTTAAAGTGGAAGAACCGGTGTGACGGACTGCACTGATTCCTGCACTACCGGATTTACGTGCTCGTGCAAGCCTGCTGCGGATCAAAGCAACCGGAGGACTTCATTTCACACGGTCACCCGCTTCAGCTCTGTTTATCCGTCAATGAGTCCGCGTCCCAAACAGAAACACATCAAGTCTGTGCGATATTCCGGTCAGTCTGACTGCGGCGGGGACACAGACTGACCCGCTGGCACGCTGACAAGTGCAGGATGGACGATCTTACGTCACAGGAGACGTAACTTACGTAACGTGCACGTATGCGCGCATCGCGCACTCACTAGGCAACCAGGTAGGGGTGTCAAACTCAATTCCTGGAGGGCCGAAGCCCTGCACAGTTTAGTTCCAACCCTGCTCCAACACACTTACCTGTAGGTTTCAAACGAGCCTGAAGGACTCAATTAGTTTGATCAGGTGTGTTTAATTAGGGTTGGAACTAAACTGTGCAGAGCTGCGGCCCTTTTGGAACTGAGTTTGACACCTGTGAGGTAAACGGTTGTTGCTTTAATCCAGGGGTGTCAACACTCGGTCCTGGAGGGCCGGTGTCCTCAAGAGTTTAGCTCCAACCCTAATCAAACACACCTGAAACAGCTAATCAAGCTCTAACTAGATATACTAGAAACTTCCGGGCAGGTGTGTTGGAAGCAAATTGGAGCTAATCTCAGCCGGACAGCGGCCCTCCAGGACCGAGTTTGGACACCCCTGCTTTAAGGTATACTGACGCCGGGAATTAACGATACTTATTTATATTGTTTATTAAATTACCAATTAATTATATTTTATTAACGTCTACTCCTACCCAAACCACCATATTTATGTAAAACAGTAATAATATCTAGTATTATTCATATTATTTACTAAATTACTCTCATTATATTGTACATATAAATACATAATAATTGTACATAAATAAATATTGTGCATTATATCTAAATTACTCACATCATACAGGCCTGTAGCCAGCCAGGTGAGAGGGATGGTTCTTTTTTCTCTAAATGTGGACTTTTTTGCAGTTATTCACCTCATTTTCTATTTAATTATGATGTTTAAATACTATCTATCTATCTATCTATCTATCTATCTATCTATCTATCTATCTATTTATATATATATATATTTTTTTTTTTTTTTTTTTTTTTAATGTCTGGCGTGGTTCAAACAGTGAATTATGTTTGATCAAACAAAAGAATAGTGAAATATGAAAACAATGATAGCTCCCTGTGGCTTGTACAGCACCTCTCATCAGCTGGAACACAATAACTTTTGCTTAGATTATGGTGGAGACATTTGTCTTTTTTCCTATGATTACAGACATGTGCAGGAACCACCAACATTAATTACAGCACGCTCGACCACACAGAACCTAAAAGGTACACTTTCAAATTTGAGTTTATAACAAAAAATACAAAAAGCGCCTCTGTTTTAGGTGTTTATTATAACACAGACGACATATACAGATATTTTAAACACTTTCAATAGTGTTTCATGAAAATTCAAAGGGTTTTCTTTAAAAATTATTTTAAGGCATAATTTGCAATATTTCAAGAGTAATTCATAAAAATAGAATTTAAACTATATTATTTCATTAACCAGAAACAAAAATATAACATTACACTAAATTCATTATTTTTAGTGTGTCACCCCAAGATTAAGTCACCCCTAAGGAAATTTTCTGGGGGCGCCACTGGGTCAAGGATCAACTCTGATAATAACTCTTTTGAGAGTTAATGATATTTAGATTATTTGCTAATGACATTTTTAAAACGAGTTAAAATCAGAATCCTTCAAAATCGTAACAGCATCAAATAAAAATCAATATTCTAAATATAAGCTGATATCTGCCGGATCTATATTCTTTTGTACAGTTCATTGGACGAACTTGTTGCATTCTTCTCTAAAGTCGTACTCAAACATGTCCAAGAGATGGCGCTGTAGCTTCATTAAAGGTCCTCATTTAAAGGGACAGGTCACCCAAAACTGAACATTCTGTCATTTATTCCCATTGATTTTCTCTGTTCTGATGAACACAAAGGGATATATTATGAAGACATTATGAACCATTAACTTTGCGCTGGTTTTTGTTTTTTCCTATACCATATGTGATTGGACTTGTGGGGAAACACGCTGCGACGTGTAGTTACATTTTTTGAGAGGTGCGAATCAGTCCCGTACAGGGGACTGGGTAGACCTAATTGTCAGTAGTGCATGAGTGTGAATGTGTGTGTATATTGGTTTCCCAGAGATGGGTTGCAGCTTAGAGGGCATCCACTGCATAAAACGTATGCTGGATAAGTTGGCGGTTCATTTTATTGTGGAATGAAATGACTATATGCGTAAATTTGTTATTAATGGGTTGTTTTTGTTCCAGTCATATACATTAAATGTTTAAATATTAAAATATATTACAGATTAAATATTATATATTACATTAAATATTAAAATATATTACAGACGGTACTGCTTATATTATTTCCCCATCTGTACAGCAATATAAGAAGTGAATGTGCATGTCAGTGGATGGGGCTGTGTCAGTGCACTCTTAAAAGAAACAGTTCTATATAGAACCAAAAATGGTTCTATCAAGCGCTTCATATATGGAACCCCAAAAAGGTTCTAAATAGAACCATTTTAATGGTTCATTAAATAGAACCCCAAATGGTTTTTCGAATTCAAGTTAGATGGTTCTATTTAGAACCATTTAAGGGTTCTTTATATAGGTAGCAGTGCAGCGCTCGTGCCCGCACCGAATCTGTGTACGCGCGGCAGGCCAGAGTCACGGTGGCAGGCTAGATTATTGACCATCAGGCCACCGGGAAAGGTCCCGGTTCTCCCTATGGCCAGTCCGTCCCTGGATATCATTAAAACCTTTTAAAGCCAAACATATTTTAATAATCCATAGATGAAAGATCAAGTGTTATTTATAAAGGACACAAAAATGCAGGCTAAATGTATTTGAAATGTTAAACCTTTAAGTATGTGTATATATATATATATGATATATATATATATATATATATATATATATATATATATATATATATATATATATATATATATATTTTATATATATATAATTATATATATAAATTATAATTATATATATAATATATATATTTTATCATATTTAATTATTATGATAATTAGTTTTAAATAAAATATTAAATCATAAAAACATGGTACTGCACAGTCTAAAGAAATAAACTGGATATTTTATTTATTTCACAAAATAATTTGTTAAAAATGTTAAATATTAAGTATATATAAAATATAAGTTATATGCTAATGTGCAAGCCTAAATGAAAAAAATCCCACCATACTGTACACTGATAACGTTTTTGACCACAGCATTCATTTTATTAGGTTTTGACTCAAAAAGCTTTGTATATCTGTGTTATAGCTTATTATTAATTTATTATCTGTACTAGATTATTATGTTATGAATCAAAAACTTATAGAACCATTTTAATCAAAAAGGTTCTTTGCACTCAAAGGGTTCTAAATGGAACCATTTTTTGGGTAAAAGGTTCTACTGGCCAAGTATAGAACCCCAAGGTTCTATATAGAACCTCTAAGAACCTTTTTTTTTTAAGAGTGTGTGGTAATGTGGGCTGGTGTGGCTACAATGCCAGGGCTGATTTTTAGTCCCAGTCCACCCCTGGCCCCGTAGCATACGCGTGCCCTTCACGCAAAAGTAAGTCAGCCTAAAGACTTGTTTGCAGGAAGAATGGGACAAAATTACACCTGAAACACTTCATCACTTGGTCTCTTCAGTCCCTTAACGTGTTAAATAAATAAATACAAATGATGAGGAACACATTAAATAATGTTTGTTGTATTGTTTGCAATAAACACAAGTCAAAGTAAATCTAGAAATCAACACTTTCTGTTGTTATTTGCGTTTTTCATACTGTCCCAACTTTTTCTGATATGGGGTTGTATTTAGATGGTTATTTTTTGCAGTGTAGTGTTTCTCAGTGCCTCTGACCAGCTCTGAACATGCTGACCAAATACTTTATAGTCCTAAATTTATATTTGCAGACCTCAGTATTAATCTTGAAGTGTCTCCAACATCGGGCCCCTGTTCTCTAGGCGCTAATAGCTGTCATGAAACCTACTTTGCAACAAAAAAAAACACACACACATTTGAACAACTTGGAAATGTCGAGGGGCCCTAACATTGTATAACCCTTCCAGGCCTCATTCTGCCATTGTCAGGCCGTGGTTCTTTCAGCCATGTTTCCAGGGAAGCTAAAAGCCATTCTCAGTATATTCCCCTGCCGTGATTTGTGTGTTCAGTCAAGATTGTGTGGTTTCCAGGCAGAGTACAAAATGGATGTGTCTGCTTCTACTGTTTACATGCTCCGTGAGATCTAGCTCTAGCTAATGTGCTGCAAGTGTACAGCTGTTATCGGACGGCCTGCGAAAGTTTATACACACACACCGCCATTACAACAGCAGCAGTGGGCCAGCTCCTGCCTGATATATGAGTAAATTAAAGCTAAACACATTGCTTTTGTTTACTTTAATCCCCAAAAGCTGCATTGGGTTACGCTAATTGATGTACGATAAATGCCCCGGACACATCTGGAACAAGTCTGCGCATGTGAACTTTTGTGATTTTCATATTGGATCTTCCTGTTTATGACATGTGCGTGTTATTTGTGCATGTCAGGACTCTTTAATGCAACGAGATCAGAATGTGTGTTTACATTTGTGGTGTGTTTTGTGTGTGTGATGTAGCATGTGTGCCGGGACATCGGATCTGCTGCTCGCCACATTCTGGGCTTGCAGGTGGTCTGTCCGCGCTCGGAGTCTAGAAGAAGATTTCATATTTCATAGGAGCACAGCATGCTCTGGACAGCATCATTGAGTCCACATGGAGAGCCAGAAGTTGTGCTGTGAATACTTGGCTTGAAGCCGTTTATGGGATCAAATTCCTGCATGTATCGTGCATTACAGATCGAAGCATAATACGTGTAAATCCAAAAATCGGCATCAAGTGTAAAATTATATGGCGCAGATATGAAAACTAAACATTAAATTAGAAACAATGAGGTCATGTGCTGAAATGTAACAAGCGTAAATCCAAAAATGTACATTGTGTGTAAAATTGTAATGCGCAGAAACGAAAACTAAATGCCGAATAAAAAACAAAGAGGTCACATACTGAAATATAAGCATAAATCCAAAAATGTACGTCATGTGTAAAATTATATCACG